TTGGAGGGTATGGGAACATCTACTGGAGTTGGATTTTAAAGGTTACCAAAACATTTCTGAACAATGTGTTGAATAGACAAGACTGAAACTGTGGTTTAGTTTCCTGAAAAGAATTCCTGACAGGCTTATTTATTACAAAGCCCTTGATATCGCTGAGGGCAAGTGGAAAAAAAAAAAAGACAAGTGTTTCCCATATATATGTGGCTTTGGCACTAATTTATTTGTTATCTTTGAGAGGAAAAAGAAGGGGAAAAAGCCAAATCAGAATCCTGAATCATCATGCCCCAAGCTGAGTCCTTAGGATTGAGTGGATTTCCAGTTCATTTTTTTCCTGGGTTTTTCAAGGTTATCAATTAATTCTGAGGGCAAGCCTTGTTTCTTATTTGCAAGAATAACAGTTTCTTGTGAGAATGAAACAAATAAGCAAATGCCCAGAATTGTCCTGGGCATTTTGTTTTGCTCTCTGCTGACGTTACCTCAAACGCTGCTTGGAAGAAGGTCCCATTTTCAACTCCTGGCAAACCTGCCCCGGCTCTTCTCACAGTCACACTTTGTGGCTATGGGGAGGAGAGATGTTTTCCATAACATTCCTCTTTCAAGGGAGCCACCATCACCTTCCTGAGGATTGCCATGGTTCAATGTGAATATCAGATCTGGACAAGGCATTTCCACCCCAGAAAGAAACCAGGATGCTTCTCAAGTTTGGGGACCATAACAACAATAATCTAATAATAATCATCTCAGCTAACACTTAATTCAGCACAAGGTGGCAAAACCCTCCTCTAAATCAACATTTACCCACTTCACCAGTTGAACTCTGGTCCCTTCCCGCTACCTGTTCTTTTAAATAGAACAGAAGCTGCAGCAACATCTTGTGTGTTAAGAAGCCTCTGGATCTCAGTGACTCAGCAATGGGGCAGAACTGACTGGACAGTGACATATGATTTTTAAATGGTCATTCACCTTCCAACTTCCCAACAGTTGCCAAGAGACTGGCTGCAGTCTCACATTCTGTCTCCCTTAATGCAGGGGTGCTCCTGCCTGGTTTCTACACAAGGACCACCTCCAGGAAACCTGAGATTTATGTCCTGGAACCTCAGCTCTAGTGAATACTGACTTGCTTATTTGGATTTATTCATTGCTATCATTTGTTTGAGCTGAGAATGGGGGCCAAGCACTTTACAGGCTTGGTCTTGTTCCACCTCTTGACAGCTGCATAATTTTACTGCCCCTTTTATAAGTAGGGAAACTGAGGGTTTGAATGGCTAATTTTTCAAGAACACACAGAGAGTGGTGGAACACTTTGGGATTTCTTTGCCTATTGAGGAGCCTTTTGGTTTTTGAGACAGGGTATCACTATGTTTCCTCAAACCCCTCAGCTCAAGTGATCCTCCCACCTCAGCACCCCAGTGCTAGGATTACAGGCCTGTAGCACTGTGCCCAGCCAAGAAGCTCTTTACCTTACTGACAATCTCCCCTTTCTCAAATTAGACATTTCAGACCTGAACTAAAAAACTAACCCACGTGACATGTGGATGACTCCTTTACACACACCTGCTCCCCAGCCTTTGTCTGATAAGCCCCTGGACAGACACATCAAGTCTTCTCAAATAGCAGTTTTGAGTCTGGGATCGGACCATGCTTCAGGCTGTGAATGTTTGTGAGCATCACACCTCCTCAGGGCTACCAGGGAGCATGAGGGAAATGTATTATCAAATGGCATCTGGATTTTATTCCATTTTACACAAATCTTCATTGTTCATGCGTGAACTTAACTTGGGACATGGAGACTGGGACTTGGGCTATTCAGCAAACAGACCATTCCCTTTGGGTTTTCTAAACTCTGTCAAGCTAAGCACTATGGGTTCTTGTTCCTTGCTTCTCAGCTATCCCCGGGGGGAGAGCTGAGAGCTGTCAGAGATACCAACCAGGAGGAACTGGGGGAAGCACAGTATTTGTCTGATATCTTTCCAGAATCAGACAGAGGTCTTCACAGGGACCCCAAATCCCTGYAATCAGTTGCAGGTGGGGTAGGGACAGAGGGTTCCTCTTCTTCCCAGCTCAGGTGTACTTGAGTTGGTATAATGTTTATGATGCCCAGAATSTAAAATATGAAACTAGATGCACACTGCTGAAGACAGACTGAGGAAACAATATCATAAAGAAGTTAGGCATCTCAAGCCCACTAGACAAATAACATCCATTTCATGAGGAGGACAAGGTACTGCTTTTGAGAAACAGACCAAACAGCCAGGCCCAAAGATCCTGAGGCCACACAGTGCTTCTGCTCCTGCAGGAGCGAGGCTCAGCCTGAAAACCTCCTCCTGGCTGCATAGATAAATAGCCAAAGGAAACCTTATCCAGGCAGTTTCAGAAATCTTATCCAAGCAGTTTCACACCAAAGGCTAAAAGGCAGGTTGATCTTCCTTTCAATCTGGCCAATAAACAAGTGACAATCAGATAGGTGACACAGCTAGGAAGAGGGCCTCATGGGGCTCCAGAGGGGATATCCCCCTGCTCTTTCTCCCTGCTGGTCTCCACTGGTGAGCAGTGGTTATAGAAGACATTCGGGGTGGTACAGCCTGCTGGAGCCTGCACATCTTACAATCACCCTACAGAATGTCTGAACAATGCATGAAACAAACAGGGCCAAACCTGGGGGAAAGTCAGACTTGTATACACACCAGACCCTTGCTGGTGAGATATTCAGGARATCTGGCCTCCAAGTGAAGGAGCCCTTCTCCAGGGTTTCTCAGAGAAAACCACCTAAGAGTGTCAGGGTCTCTTTGATGGCCTCAAAACTGGGAGAAAGGTGAAGAATTCTGATGTCTTACATACTGGCCAGCAAAGCAAGAGAGAGCATTTGGCTTTTATTTTTTATAGTTAGCTTAGAGTTGTGTGTGTATAGCTGATGTCTCAGGCCAAGGAAAGAACGGTGTCATCCGTGGTGTGGCTTTATCTGCACACAGCTCTGTGAAGCAGGCAGAACAAAATGGCCATTGTGATCCTAAGAGGGTAGGAGGTGGAGATTCACGGAGGTGATGTGACTTGCCCAAAGACCATCCTTATAAATGGTAGATAGGGAACTCCAGTGAGGACTTCCAATCCCCCTTCTGATCCTTTGGTGTACTGTGCTTTTCACTCTGCCACACTGATAGCTGGCACCATGGGCAAAACTGTCACTCTGGATTATCCACTGAGCAGACCAGGGAAAGGACTACATTATCCTCTGTAAGTTAAACATCTGTGAAGGAGCTACAGTGAGATAGTGAAGCCAGCCACTATTGGTTGTGAGATACTTCATGTTGTGAGATTTACGAGGGGAGTAGCCATGTCTGGCTTGCTTTGTGTCCCTGGAACCTGTGCCAGTGCCTGGTGTAACAGCTATTTGTGGAGGGAGAGAAGGGAGAGGGAGGGAGGGAGTTGGTGTGGCTTTCCTTGCACATATTTCTCTGACCACAGCCTCCACTTCTTTCGCTGGGCTCTTGCTTCCTGGCCCTGGTCTTATCTTTTTATAAATTCCCCTTGCTGACTCTGTATCTGGACTTCTGGAGTCATCCCTTCATGGAGTCATGCCATAGTCAAGTCACCTGAACAAAGTTCTAATCCTCTCTCAATCACCTGCTCTAGTTGTCTCTTTGTCACCCCACAAGTTGCATGTCCAAAGCCTGAAGTCCAGATCTCTCCTTAAAACTTTGTCCCATCTTTCAGCTTCTCGGGCAGTGGCACTGCTGTTTCCCAACTCTCCTGAGTTTGAAAATTCATTTATTTTTTCCTTCTTTCACATTCAGTCAAGTGCTCGTGACTTGTCCATTGATCTGTTGTTTCCTCTCCATCCCTATGGGCTAAACAAGTGTAATGTCAAAGTGACCTCCATCAGTCTCTCTCCTCCCACCCCCTTGGCTCCAGTCCAGTGTGCTCTGACCACTGCTGCCATTCCTCTCCAGTTCGAGCCCACCCTGACTCCTGATTTCCTACTACAGCTCCATGGAGCACCTCCTGCAGACCAACTGCTGGCACGCACTGCACTGCATCTCCTCATTATCAAGGGAGTATGCCAAGCTCAGCCCCACCCCAATCTAAAAGGTTGCTCCTTTGCCAAGAATGCTTTCTTTCATTTACCTTATTCAAATTCCTGCTGTGCACATGCTGTAATGGCACTGTTCCAAAGAACTGGTCTATTTTATCACTTCAGGCCCATCTCTTCCTCATTTTCTGCCTGATGGGTCAATGTACTGATAATAAGGTAGAGTCACAGGGAACCCCCATCTTATATCTGAGTCTGACCCGGTGCTCCAAGGCTGCATTTTCCCATGCTTCATTAGTTCCTTTAAAGGACCAGATATCCTCAGACAGAGCAATGACTTCCAGTCCAGGGCAAGGCCTCTCTCTCTCTCAAAGTTGGATTTACTCTGGGGCTCAATCGTCAATTTAGTTTTTGTCTCACAAGTTTGTCTCACCAGAATTTAGATGGAGAGTCTACGGGTTGGAAGTGGGGAATGTGGAGGTCCAAAGGGTAGAAAATATGGGTCCATTTGGAGTATATAGAAGACAGCTTTCTTTTTACAGATGCTAAACTATCTCATCAGGTTGTCAGCCTTGGACTCCATTTCACTTTAGTAAATACAAATAAAGCTACTGTCAAGTGCCATCAACAATGTGAACTCTGCTTGTGTAGCCCACATTAGGGCTTAAAAACTCCTCCACATTTCAGCTTCCATGGAGGTGTCTGAATGAAAACTATCATTTAATCAGTCATTTCCTTGCCACACAAAACTATAAGCACAAATGGATTTTAAAGGGTCAGAAAACAAGTTTTTGTTTACAAAAATACCCTCCCAGAGTTATGCTTAGTGACCTTAGAGAGAACACAGCTAAAAACCCCAGCAGCCAAGGGAAGGACTCAAAGGTACCCAGTGCGACACAGACTTACAACACGGCCAAATCATCCCAAGGAGTACACAATATAAATGCTTTATTGCCAGCACAGAGGTTTCTTTTTAAGTAAATTAAAAGAAATAAATCTTCATTTCACATTCTATATTGCAGTTCAAAGGTAACTAGTTGGTTAATGTATGTTCACTTGGACGCGCTACAGGAGAAGAGCAGGGCATTCAATGGAAGAACTCAGAAAGCCGGCAWCTGTCAAGGCATCAGGCAGCTGAACGCACTTCCGTTTGTAAATAACAGCAAGGAGAGATTTCTTTAAAACATCATGAATACACGAGGGTTATAAATAGAAAACTGGTGCAGGTAGAAAGCAGAAAAACACGCTCAGTATAGAAGGCTATATATACGTTGCCCATACTCCATATACTCTAGGTTATGTTTGGTACTTTTAAATAAATGATCTTCATCTAGGTTAGAGACTGGCTTGGAGGTGGAAGCTGGAAGGAGAAGGAGAGGAAGTTAACACACCAAACTGGGGGATTACGGGAAAGCAGAGGAGCCAAGCTAGGAGAAGGGGGCTGGCCTGCTTCATGCCTCCCCCTCTGTAGGCTGAAGCTCACTTATTGAGAGGCAAGAATGGTGTGTGGATGAGCCACTGGGTGTGAGAGGAGCTCTGGCAGAGCGTGGACACTGTGGCATGCTGGCATTCTACAAATAGAGAACACCCTCAGGCTTGGCCAGGTTTTCCAAGGTTGCTGCCAATGGAATTAGGGCATGTAATTTGGGCATGACAGGCCTGAGAGACAMCTGCAGCAACAGGAGGTACAGGTGCTGGTGCACTGGGATCTGGGGTGCAGAAGAGGCTATGGGTTGTGATTACAGAAATAGTTCACGTGATAAGAATTCTCAGCTAGTCTTGGAAATCAAATTATTTCTGCAAGGAATCCAACCTGAGCAACTTCCCAAGCCTACTTGAATTGTTTTTTGGGTTGGTTTTAAGATAAGCTTTGGAAAAGATATTACTCACCAAAAACAAACACACAAACAAAAAAAACACTCCTTATTCCAGATCAACCAATAAAAGAATTACACACACACACACACACACACACACACAATCTACAGCAAGCTCAGAAGCCATGAGCTACACACAATGACCTCTCATCTGCACTGTCCTGATCTTATTTCACATGTGTTATTTATGGACATAAAAAAACAAATTGGGTCAGGAAGATCCCAAGTTCTGACCATGAGAGTGTCTGAAGTGCACCAGCTCCTGGCCTTTCCAGGCTGGTCTGACTCTTAACTAAAACCATTTCGTGTTTTGCTTTGAAGAAATGGATGACATGAAATGGTAATTTGGCTGCAAAACCTTGGAAAATTGTTCCCGGCCCAAACATCTGCCCCAAATGAGCTCAGCTGAGATCTCCTTGGAGGAGAGGGAGGGGTGGAAGAGCAGGGAGAACTGGAAGGAAGAAAATGAAGCTGGCACAAAGGCCATCTCTCTGGAGAGGGAAGTTCTTTGTGACAGCATCATGTTCTTTGCGACAGTAAGCAGCTTCCCTATTCTATTGGATGTGTCCCACAGCTTGTCCCCTTACCTCTGCCCCGACTTCCCCCATGCTTGCCTTCCCCCATGCTTGGTATCATTAAGGTGATCCCTTGCAGAATGCCTAGAAAYCTGCCCAGCTGCTTTGTTTCAGTGGTGCAGTGACCTGCCTGCTACATGTCATCATCTCAACCTTTAAAGAAGGACCTTGGCTCGATTCTATTCCTGACAGCTGGGCCCTACAGAGAAAGCAGAGGGAGAGTGGTGTAGGCCGGCCATCGCCTTTCTTCTTAGCCTTCTTAGGAGTTCTTCTGGGGGATCTTTACGGTCACAGTCTTAACTTCTGAGTACTCGCGCAAGCCAAATTCTCCCCTGAAAAACAGAAATAAGCAAAATCAGATGCCAGAACCCAGGCAGTCATGGCAGGGTGGTGATGGTAGTTCTAGAAAAGATTCAGTTTGTCACTTGTGAACACCTAGAGATTTTAAATAAAAATTCCTAATGGATGGGACWTCCAGGCCTTCCTCTGAGGAGCAGAGAGAGCCCTCATCTCACATGCAATCATCATTTCTCAAAAGATAATTTGCCTCCATAATACTACACAGAAACGCAATGACTCCAGCTACTCAGAGAGCCAGACCCAGGGTTAGCTGTTGCCAGAGGGCATGCTCCTTCCTGGCTGAGCACCAGGGGCAGTGGCAGAACCAAGTCCCTAGTCTTCCAATGCCTTGGTCCTGTTCCTCCCTCAGGCACACTGGTTCCTCAGGATGTGGGTGGTGTGCTATTTTTCCCTAAAGCCCTGCTCCTGCCTCTGCATACCCCTGGATGTTTGGATGCTGTGCCTAGAGAGCTAGTCATGGCAACTGAAAGAAAAGGCTGAGATTCTCAGAGGAGGATCCTCTCTGCTATTCTAAATTCCTTTTCATTATTCCTTAGATTCAATAAACAGGGATGAAGACCTAAGAGCCCACCATGGAAATGCAGAAATCATTTGCAATATCTTAAAAAAAAATCAGTAAGTACTGTCCGTAGCCTCACGGAATCTGAGGAAGGATTCAGGGAATAAAAATAACCAATTAAAAAAGACATTGGGAACCATTAGTAAGCTTCCTCTTTAAGATTTTTTTTTGCCCTCTTCCTCTGTGGGATCTGGGTYAGAATCAAAGATTGCCAATCATTTTTCATTTATTGAGATATTACTATAGGTAGCCCTGTGCTGGGCTCAGGACAAGCAAAACTAAATAACTAGTCCCAGCCTCTGAAGAACTTGCAGGTGATTGGGAGTAAGGAGAAGATATGAGTATGGTCACTCTCTAAGTGGAGACAGGGGACACAGCCATTCCCAGGCCTCTGGACACTTGCCAGAAACCAGAGGGCAGGCATATGGTGAAGCCTGCTTACTGTAATGCCCCTTTTCTTCCACCTTGCTGTTTCCCCTCATTTTCACTTAAAAGTTGCCTTTTAAGAATTTTATTATAAAATCGATGTTTTAAACTTTTCTTTAAAATATAGGAAGTTTTTTTCCTCTCTTCTTTTTGAAGTCCTCCTTAGTGAGGTTTCTCCTGACAGCCCAGGAAAAGGCACTCCCCTCCTCTTCTGTTCCCCAGAGCGCTTTGCCCTATCTCCACCATGATGTCACCACACTGGAAGAGCTTTGGGAGCACCTCTGTGTCCCCCTGAGCAAGAGCTCACTAACTTGCTTTCTGCCCCCACCATACATCATGGTCAGCCTACAATGCCTGGCAGGGAGAAGGCACTCAATGTCTGTGAAAGGGAGAAAGTAAGTGGGGAGGTCTCATCCTATCGCCCTTTTTCCCAGTTCTGTCTTCTGGACATATGGTCTCCACCAGGAGAAAATAAAAGAACACTCAGACGTGTTTGAGTATGAAAGGATTAAGAAAAGCTCTCTTTCAAAATGGTCAGTTATTGCAACTGGGTTTTACAAGCGAGATTGGCAGTAAATAGTTCCTCCTGGTTCCTTTCAGGGATCTGATAGCCTTATACAGGGTCCAATCACTGCTGCTGACTCCTCTGAACCCTGAGGGCACCTCAGTTTACAAGGCCCCCACCCTGGGACATCAGAGAGCAGTCCAGGAGRGCCTGGTAAGCATCCTGTTCTCTAGCCTCGCCTACAGGGTCATTCCATTTAGAGGAATGAGGCGAGCAAACTGGGACTGCCCTACTCATTACAAGGTTCACTCATTAACTCCATGCAGGCCTTGGGTCTCTATRTTACCAGCTCAGCTTTGGCTCTCTCTGTAGTTTTCCCTGCCCTTAGGCAATTCTGAATTGTCTCTTCATCAAGGACATCATGTGTCTCCTGTTTGAAGTGAGGTTACTCCCTTCTCATTTCCTGGCTTGTGCGTGCACGCACTTGCGGCAGACCCTGAACCACTCTTTCCTCCCACTTAGATCTCTAACTAGGTTGTGACAAATGTAAGGAAGTCTATGAAGTCAGAAACTCACAGTTGCTTTTGCACATGAATGTTGGATCCCACAGTGTTTGGGTGCATGAAGCAGTGGAAACCCTGCTAGTCTGGGAGTGTTTTTTCCTGGTTCCTGGGCAGGGATGGATTTCAACCCACTCCAAGAACAATAGATCTGTTGTCAAAAGAAGGACTTCCCAGGTGCTCAGGGCACCAAGGGAGCCATCATAGAGCAGACAATGGAGGCCTCATAGAGCAAAGAACCCTCCCTGCAGCTGGAGTCAGTGGACAGAAATACTAATGCCTCTGCCATTAACTGGCGGAAGGACCCAATCAAGCCACCCCATTCTCTTGGTGCCCAGGCATCTTCCTGAAAGTCAGAATGTATAAGCAGCACCTGAGAAGCTTGTTGAAACTGTAGTTCTTGACCTTCTGGGCACCAAAAATTCTGTTTCCAGTAGGTCTGGAGGGGAACCCAGGTGGTCATTTGACCCACACTTTGGGAAGCACTCACAAAGTCCTGAAGTTTGGATTCTTCCATTGTTTCACCATCTCTAGAATCTCTTTGCTGCACTTAAATTCCCTGGCACAAACAGTTCCATAGCTCAAAAGGAAGATCCTCACAGCTGCACAAGACAGGCATCTCACTGCTAAAAAGCCTCAATCTCTGTGAGGTCACTTTAACAGCTGTAGAGCACAGGGCACACAAACATCTAGAAGCCCACTTGCCTGCTTCTCAACAGACTAGGTTACAGTCCGTAAGATAACCAAATGTGGCATACCCAGTGGTGAGAAAAAAATGTCAGATTTTGGTGGCTCCCAGCAAGCCATTTTAGGAATCACTCAAATTCACCCATAATACAAGTAAGAATTTACTTGGGATATATATATATATATTCCTGCACTTTTATCTGGCTTGCAGCAGCATTTTTCAAAATGAGGTCCCAGACTACCTGCATCAGAATCATTCCAGAAACTTGTTAAAAATGCATATCCCAGGCCCCAGCCCAGACCTACTGAATCAGAATCTCTGAGACTGGCTTCCAGATAAGGATGCTTAACAACCTCACCAGATTGCAGGTGACTTCTGGTGTGCATGTACACACACACACACACACACACACACACACACGTGTGCGCACAACTTGATCAAGTTTCCCTACCATGCTTTTCATTTTCAAAGCCTGTGTTTATAGTTACTAAAATGCTAAGGTTCATAGCTTTCTTTCAGTTTGTGACACATACTTTATAGCTTATGTTTTACCATCTTTCAGGGGGAGCTTAAATGAGAAAGGAAAGAAAAGGATGGGAAGGGAGAAACAGACAAAATTAGTTGGGCAGGCAGAACGAAGAGACAYATGGCTCAAGTCTCTGACCCCAGGGAAGAAAAGGCCAGCCCATCAGACAACCTGCAGAGGGCAGCCCTCCCCACAGCTCTCTGTGGGAGAACTCTGTGCTCCCCAACCCTCCCTGAAGCTTGTTTCTAGCCGTGTCACTTCCCTTCCCGGCTCCTCTTGGGGATGGGTTTGGGGATGGGTATGGAGTCTACAGGTCATGAACAACRCAATTTTTCCAGATGGAAGGCTCAGTGGAATTTCTGGGGATATATCAAATGAGATGTAAACGTGCAGGTTCTTTTAATTGAAGTATTTCCTACCACTCTAGATCATTTAAAAAAGAGAGAATGCATTTGGGGGTAAGTAGAGACAAAGAGCTAGGCCATTTATATAAGATGAAATGGGTCTCATCAAACAGCATCTTTTCTTATTTTTTCTCACTGCTGTGGGAAGGACACATCACTCCCATACCTAAAAGACAAGTAGAGAGAAGCTGCTCTTCTACTTCTTGGGCTACTGTTACATGTTCTGACACAGCCAAACAATCTTTTAGCAAGGGGACATTTCCGATGGGAATATGCTGGACTAGGATAATGTCACAAGCCTGGATTCTAGCAGGAGGCTTGCTCATGATGAAGGACAAGAGTTACCCTGGAAGGCTCCATCAGCCAGCAACCATTTTTTACAAGTATATTTTATGCCAGTGATTCACCCTGTTAATGATCTGTAACAAAACAGTCAGTGCAAGCAGCATTCCCAGAGCCAGTGACGGCCCCAACATTACAGAGACTGGATGAAGACAGCTACAGAGGCAGGAAATGAAATAACAAGCAGAATACATTTTGAAGCATAAAAGTGGAAAGTTAAGGCCACATGAGAGTGAAGAGGAGATACCTAGAGTATACAAGCTGAAGGAGTACCAGTGTGAACAGGATCTAGATCATTAATGGTTCTGGCTGGAAAGTCAGTGTGGGAACACTAAAGCCAGAAGCAAAGAATCCAAGGAGGAAAGTTCCCCCTGGCCCTACGAGAGACAGGTGGCATTTCCCGGGATTCAGGAAAACTTTTGCAGCACTTCCAAAGCAACAGGTTAGTAAAGAAAAAGAAGGAGCACCTACCTCTCACCTGCTTGAGCACTAATGGCAGCAGCTGACGCCTTCTAAAGGCTTGCCAGACACTGCTGGTGTCCAGCGTACTTAATGCCAACACTTAACCCTCATGACAAACCTCAAAGCAGMGAGTCTAATCCTTATAGATRAGGACACTGGAAGTTGAGGAGATTGAGTAATTTGTGCAAGGTTGCACAGGTGGTAAGCAGTAGAGCCAGGATTCACATCTGAACAGTATGATTCTTGAACTGCTCTTGGCCTCAAAGGTATCTCTATTTATAGGTGTAATCATTAGTTGCTAGAAGTATAAGCTCAAGTATCTGAAGCATGTAAACCTCTGTTCTAGTCTAAAGGGTTTGGTACATAATCCTGAAGTGCCACACTTACTTTTCATAAGGTCTTTTACTCTTCCTCCACTGCTAACCTTGCTTTACTGTTTTTTGTTTTTCCTTCTCTCTCTCTCTCTCTCTCTCTCTCTCTCTCTCTCTCTCTCTCTCTCTCTCGGTACTGAGGACAGAACCAGGGGTGCTTTACCACTAAGCTACATTCCAGTCATTTTTATTTTGAGACATGATCTTGCTAAGTTGATGAGAGTCTTGCTAAGTTGCTCAGACTGGTCTCAAACTTCCCATCCTCCTGCCTCAGCCTCTCCAGTTACTGGGGTGCACCACTATGGCTAACTACCTTCCAACCTTGAAAATATATTCCTCTCTCTCCATCAACTCAAGTGTTCCTCTCCTAGAAAGGCAACTCAAATATCTATAATAAAGATCATATCTAAATGCTTCTGTACTGAAATCCCCCTGGAGTCTAGTTTACTTCTGCTACAGTGCTATTTTTCAGGGCATTAGCATCTCAGAAGGATTGTCAGGCTCTTATCCTATCCCTAAAGAGTCCCTGTGTCTGGCCCTCATGCTTCCTTGGCTGGATCCACAGGAGTTAAGGGCATTCAGAGTCACTGAGACCTAGGCTGGAATATCAGATATGCCATTTACTATGTGACTTGGTCAAGCTACTTAACTACTCTTCCCCTTAGCTCCTCCGTAATATATGTGATGTATTTATCCCACAGAAACAATGTGAAAGTTGGATGAGACAATGTTAGAAAAGAAGTCAGCATCRAGCCAGATAAACAGCAGGCATTTAATTAATAACATCTGCTTTGGTGAATGTCCATCTGTCACCCGAGAGTTCATAYGTTGGAACCTTTTGGAAGTGATTAAATCATGAGGGATCCATCAAGAATAGGAGTAKAGCGGTTCTGAATGAGCTCCCTTGCCCATTCAGCCACACTTTGCCTCTAGAACCTTGAGCAATACATTTCTAATGCTTATAAATTATATAGTCTAAGGCATTTAGTTTTAGCCGCTTGAATGAACTAAGATACCTATTATTGTTACAGTAAAATCCTTCGAACTGGTCTTCTTCTCTAGTGTCTGCCAAGACACCACACCCTCTATACTCCAGGTATCTTGGCTCTAAAATCTCTGGTAGCTTCTGATTACCATGGAATTTCCTTTGAGATGTGATTTAAACCAACCTTTCCACTTGTACCTTCAGTAGGTCCCCCCTGTTGATCCTATGCCCTAACCCTGCAATCCCAATCTCAAAGAACCTATCAGGACTGAGCAGGTGATATAAGTGAGGGGACTGGGTAGGGGCAACAGGTATGGTGGCCAACATTCAYCCCAGGAAGCAAGAGGAATGGTGGGAACATGGCAAGCCGCAGAGCTCACAGCTCTGGTGATTCTTTTGTGAGGGAACTGAAACAAGAAAGAAATCTACATTTCATGTGAAGCCTTCTCATGTTGGAGTGTTAGTTGAAGATTTTAAAACACCATGAAAGCAAAACATACATTTTTCTGGGCCAGATTTGGCCCTTGGGCTGCCAGTTGGTGAAAGCCTACTCCTAAAAGTTGAAATGTTGTTTCCTCTGGATGTCTTCTCTGACTCTACTAGACAAGACTGATTTTTGCTCCATATTTACAAGATGTCTGACATACTTCTATAATAGCCCTTATTAAATAGAATTATTGGTACATTAATTTTTCTTTGTCCCCACTTAGCATAAGGGAGTTGTGTCTTACTCACTCTTGTACCATGCATGTAATACTTAGATTATAGTAGTTTGTGCTCAACAAAGTGTTAATTTAGTGAACAGAGGAGTGTCAGAAAATTCAGCTATGTTTTGAGTGCTGTTCTAGGCCAACATTCAAAACCCCTGCATCTCTGCAGGCATTAGCAACTGTGACACTTACATTTCTCTCCCATTTCCAGACATTTTGAACCCTCCAAAAGGGCTCTGGGCATTTAAGGCATTGTAACAATTGATCCTGAAAGAAGAAAACATAGTACTGTTAGTATGAATTTTACCTGCAGAGAAATAATACTATTAGCATGACATTTCTTTCAAAAGTTTTATTTTTTGTTTCTATTCTCCAGACAAAAACTTTATTTATAGTTTAAAATTTACTTTGATTTTCTTATCTTGCCAGTAAGAAGTGTATCCATTCTCAAGCTAAAGTTCGGATGTCCTTGATATTCTCCATCCTTCCAGAGGATATCTGTTTTACCAAGGCTCCTGGTAGCATAAGGCCCTGCTCTAACCTGAAAGTAGTTTCCCCTAAGGGTTCAAGTGTCGAAAGCCTGGTCCCCAGGGTGGCCATTCTGGAAGACAGTGTGGAACCTTAAAGAGGTGCAGCCTAGTGGGAAGTCCTTGGGTCACTGTTGAGCTACCTCAGAGGGGTTTAAGGTAGTAGTTCTGTGCTCCCCGAGAGCTCTTACAAGTGTATAGCCCTTAGGTTGTTCTAAGATAGGGCCAAACACCTGAATTTTTCTCTCTTGTTTCCTGTCTGGCAATGTAATCTCTTTCTCCCACATGAGCTTCCTCTGCCATGAAGTGATATAATCAAGTGTCCCTTCCATGCCATTTTAACTTTCAGCCTCAAGAACTGAGCTAAAGAACTTTTTTAAAAATAAAGTTAGCCTGTCTCAGGTTACTCATCATAGAAAAATGAAGTAACATAGGCCTCTATACCACCAGTGGAATTTTGTTAGAGCCAGTACAATGAGATTGCTTCTGATCTTACCAAACAGTCCCAGCTTGCATTGCAGAAGACACTGTGAGGGCCTTGTTGATGTCATTAGTGAAGACAGCAGCTACAAGTCCAAAGTCTGAGTTATTGGCTCTTTCAATAACTTCATCCATAGTTTTAAACCTCAGAATTTCCTGCACAGGGCCAAAGATCTATAACAAAATAGTTTGACTCAATGAGGCTGCCTTTCATTTACCTGTTTTCCCCATTTTAAAGCAACTTTACTCTGCTTCTATTTTTAAAATGACTTTAGTTTAGCCCCATGAAAGTGTACACTATCCCAAACTTCCCCAGAATAAGATTCTAACCTCAGACTTTCATATCCCCTCTCCCAACCTCCTTGCATCACTCAATTCCACTCTTATGTTCTTGGGGTGTGTTCTTTAGATGCAGAAGAGAAAGTGACATTCTCCCTGATCCCCAAACAGTGTCTGGAGAACACTCCTCCAGAACTGAGAACTACTGCTCTGCACTACTAGCTGACCTGGACCAGGTCTCTCACCTCATAGACATGAGGATACTTGGAAGTTTTCTTTGCTAGTTAACAGCCTAGTCCCTCATYCTCAGGGGAACTGAACTTCTTCCAGTGTATTACTGAGGTGAGAGACAGGCTATTATAATTATTTTTCTGGCTGATAACAGTTACACTCACATAGCACATCACCTGGCCTCCATGTTGCTTGCCTGCCTTTTGGTTTAACTTTTTCCTTGAAAGTGGGATTTTCATAGCCATGTTTATTGCCATTGTGAAATGTCTGAGTATAAAATACAAAGGACTAAAATTCTAAAACTATCTACCAGGAATGCCCTAGAAACCATCCCAAGAAAGAGATGTGGCTTTTGTAAGTACACTATACCTCCTCCTTGGCAATCCGCATGTCATCAGTGACGTTAGAAAACACCGTTGGCTCAATAAAAAACCCCTTTCGGCCCAGTCCTTTGCCTCCACATTCCAGCTTGGCGCCCTCAGCCACACCACTCTGGATGAGTTCCAGGATCTTGTTGTATTGTTTCTTATCAATCTACAGGAGAAATCACCTCATGACTCAGTAAAGCCATCCATGAAAATGGAAACAAGCATGTTTTTAAGAGCCTCTCATTTATGATTTTTGTTTTCAAAATGTCATCATATCTAATCAAATCATATGAAACTGGTATTATTTACCAACTTTTGACAAACTACAGAGTTGGTATGGTTCAATCCAATATATGGAGGATTCCAATAAGGCACTGCCCTGATGATTTGGCCTAATCTGAAATACCAGGTGAAGATTTAGTAAATGGTTCAAAACAACAGAGACACTGGATAATTATTACTCATTATTATTAAGGAAAGATCAACTYCTATCACCAAATGAATGATTAAGCAAGTTGAATTGATACTAAAATGACAAAAAAACACCAAATAAATAGATAAGTTAATACACAGCCTCTTTTGATATTGTCACATACCAAATTTTACTGGGGTTTATTTTTAAAGAAATTCCTATTGTGCCTTTAGAGGAGAGGATTAAAATTAAAGAGTTTGAGCAAACTTCTTAGTCCAGAAAAATGGTCAGTTTTACCCCCCACCAACATTGATAGTTATCATTCAGTTATTATGGTAAATAATATAAAAACCTATATTCATCTGAGTTTGAACTGCTCAGCTATAACATCAACTTTCTCCAGTGGTCACCAAATTGAGATGACATTGTCCTTAACCAGGAAAATTCATGGTCTGGTGGCCCAGATGAGAACTGGTTCAGATACCCTTCTATGAATTCTCAGACCCTGTATACAGATTAAAATCACAGTTCCATTTCCAAATAGATCATGATGGTTATAGTTAGCCTGTTCAGGAGGGACATTCATGGCCTTCCCCAYTCTACCACAATGTGTGATGCAATCAGAGTAAGAGATAACCGAACAGTCAGGAGGAAAGTAAGCCAGTCCTTCATTCCTACAYATTTGCAAGCTTCAAGTGATCTCTGCAGACTAGCACAGGGTGATGGAGAGAATCCTTGGCATCTGGTAAAGGATAAATGGCTCTGGGAAGGAGAGCCACCCTCCCTGAGTATGGCATCTGTAGGAAGTCATGAAGCATAGCAGTTAGGAGGACTGCGACTCAGTTCTAGGGTCAAGATTCACCTTGTCATGCTTAGGAATTTCTTTAAAGCTGAGAGACTCCAAATCAACCCCATAGTTCAAAACATCCTTAAGACAACACTAATCTCATAGTTTTTCAGAGATAAAATTTACGAAGGGAAGGAGAAGCATAATAAATAATCTCTCAATGGCTATACTTCCAGCCATGAAGACAAGGTGGAAGAGTAAAAARGCAGCAGGAAGATGAAGATGTTGCCTTGGTGGGTCCCACCCTGTCCACTGTTGTGGTGCTAGCCAGAGATTAAGTAAACAAGGAAACGTTTATGATTTCTCTACCTGAGGACCCTGCTCAGTGGTGGGGTCAAAGGGACTCCCCACTATGCGCCTCTTGGCCCGCTCCACACTTCTTCTCACAAATTCTTCATAGATGGACTCCTCCACAAAGATGCGAGATCCTGCAGTACAGCACTGGCCTTGATTGAAGAATACACCCTGGTGAGCCTGCTCCACAGCATAGTCCACTGCAAGAAAAACAGCTGTGTTTTCAACACCACTTTGCCTACAGAGGGGCCTGTTCATGGAGATAACTCCTTCTCCTCTCCAAGGTCTCAGGTATAACATCCTGATCACCATGGAGCGTAACAGTGATAGCTCAGGACTGAGAAGCCAACTTAGTTCTAGTTCTCACTAGACCCTGACATTACTTGCTCTGTGAATTTGGGCAAATTCACTTCTCTGAGTCTCTTTCTTGTTAAAACAAAGACTGGACCACATCATTTATAACAACAGTCTTGATCCCACTATGCAAAGAGGTTAGGCAGATAATGTAAAGGTGTGAATCTGCCAGGTGGTCAAGCACTGTAATGAAAAGACTAAAGGAAGCCAGTGTGGCTGGATGTTGCTATGTATGAATATAAGCCAAAAAAACCCAAGAAATCAATATTTTAATATTCAGTTTTTGTTTTCTAAGCATGGAAATTTGTATATTCTGTATATTTGTATATTTTGCATTTGGCTTGTGGAATGCCAATTCACAACCCATAATCTACAAGGTCTTGTATATCTAATTAGCATTTTGATGATTAATCTGTAACACCAATGGATCTTCCAAAGACACTAAGTTTCATCTATGTCGACCCTGAATTGTAGAATAGCATGTAGTTCTTTCATTCCATCTCATACTTAAGATGTCAAAATAGTGTTGATAAATATAGTGTTTGCAAGTTGCTAAATGACTGACTGAAAACAACTGATGGCATGACAGTGGAATGCCTACAGTCCCAAAAGGAATAGGTATAATAATTCTGATCTTGATAAATAGTGACTAAAGCTGAACTCCACAAATTTCAAGCTGGGGCTACACTTCAAACAATCTGCTTCATTTTCTGATCTTTTCAGTGGTAGAATTGGGAAGCTGTTCTGTCTTGAGGATGTGAAGAAGAAAAAAAATGACTGAATGAAATTATGCACTTTTATTCCCTGGAGAGCTTTTCAAAATAGAGAGACCACACCTGTACAGAATGGACTAGATGGCCTTCTTCCTAGAAATACAGGCTTCCTAGGTTACTGCTTGAAGCCTCTATAAATTCCTCCAAACAAAGTCTATTCACTGAATTCACCTGAGTGTGCTGTCACCACTAGCTGAAAATCCTGGGAGCAGCAGAAAGGTACTGGGATAACTGACCAGAGAAGGCATGGAAAACACTGGTAGAGGCAGTGAAGAATTTCTTTTTGAGGTGCTGGGGATCAAACTCAGGGCCTCACACAAACTAAGCGAGTATGCTACCACTGAGCTACAGTCCCAGCCCTAGGATTTATTTTTAATCACCTTCCAGCCATCAGGCTCAGTTGAGAAGTTTCAGAATACTTGAATCTAGACAGAGAGACCTGTACTTTGGGTGTTTAGAGACTCAAAATATTGCTTCTTCCACCATATTCTGCTAATCAGGCCCTCAACTCTTCTACTCTATTCTATAATGTCACAGAATCAAAACAGCTAAGAAAATGAACTCTGCTCAGCACTCAGTTGATAAGAACTCTTCCCCAATATTAAGCTATTTTTCTCCCCAGGATATCTTGATTACCCTTAGCTTCAAAGATCTTTTTGTGTGTGTGTCATAGCAAGAGTGGAAATACAAAAGAGCCCCAAAGGGTGATGTGCTGGAACATGTGTGAGATCTGTGGTTGACTTACAATCGGCATCTGCAAAGATAATATTGGGACTTTTCCCTCCAAGTTCCAGAGTTACTCTCTTCAAATTACTTCTTCCAGCTGCTTCTTGAATAAGCTTTCCAACCTGAAATAAAAGAAACACAGAGGGATTTTTGCACACCTTGCTCTTGAGGCATGTTCCACCACATTCCAGTCAGCTCTGGCCAAAGCCAGCTCTGGGCAACAAAAAAAAAATGTGGCAGTAGCCAATGCTAAAAGGCAAAAGAATCCACTGAAAGACAATTTGGGTGGATAAGATATGCAAGGCAGTTTAGATACAGTTGAATGTCCATGCTTCAGTTTCATGATGGAAGACACAAGGCAAAGGGAGTTAAACCTGGAATCTTAATCACTAAAAGATTTCTCTAAAGATAAATGGCATGCAAAATGAGACTAGAGATTTCCATCACTGCATTGTGGCCTTTAGCTTGAGACTCTGGCTGCCAGAAAAAAAGCCAACTGGCTCCACTTGAAAGACATAATGAAGATAAAATTGTGTGTGCATCTCTAAAAATGCCAGGTATGCTTTATCCCATGGTCCAAAGACACTATTGATATTACACCTTTGCCTCTACTTAGGGCTATGGTAAAGGGTTTCCATATAGTGGGAGAGAATCTGTCTCTACTTGTGCAATACTGTAGATGCCTATTTAACTAGAATCCAAGTAAACAAGAGGCTGAGTTTGGAGAATGCATTTGCCATTGACTCACATTTATGATGAAATATAAAGTTTCAAATTGGAAATAAGGATGTACCACCCATAGCCCTGCTCAAAGAAGAATGCAGTGGCAGGCAGTGCTGTCAGGAGTCAGCCAGCAGCTGCTAACTCCATTAGGGTCTGCCTCAGCTGAACAGAGCTCCCTGTTTAAGGGGATGCCACCCCGGAGTGGCTCACATCCACTCACTAATAGTGGCAGGCCTTGCCCATTTAGCCCATCATATGACCCCTCTGAGGGAACTCATGTGTTCCACCATGTTCCAGATGGCTGGTCAAGGTTATCTCAGACCTGCACTACAATTCAACTTCCCTTGTGTCCATTCCTCTTCACCAGAGATCCCTAGTAAATATCCTGCATCCCAAACTCCACCTCAGTAACTACTCTGGGAGAACCASCCTATAACAGGGTGCTACTCTACTGGACAACCGAGGTACTTTATGGAAAATGCGGAGCCACCCATACAGACAATTTGGTCTTATTGAGATAAAAAAAATGCTACTTGTGCCTGGAGATCTACTGAAAATTAAATATTTAAAAAGCTTGGAGAAGAGAAATGCCACATTCATGTTTGGCTCACTCAGCCTCTTGCTGAGATTCAGGAGGGCTAATATGTCTTCAGGCAGTGGAGGGTTATATAATGTAAGGTCAAAAGACCCTAGAGCCTGAATGCCTGGGATTGTTATTGGCTCACCACTTACCAACTGTTTGGCCTTGGGAAATTATTTAACTTTTTTAAGCCTTGGTTTCCTTCTCTGTAAATGGGGACTACTCATACACTGCTAGTGGGACTGCAAACTGGTAAATTCACTCTGGAAAGCAGTATGGAGATTCCTMAAAAAATAGGAATGAAACCATCATTTAACTGAACTATCCCACTCCTTGGTATATATCCAAAGGATTTAAAATCAGCATACTACACTGACATAGTCACATCAATGTTTATGGCAGCTCAATTCACATCAGCTAAGCCATGGAACATTCCTAGATGCCCTTCAACAGATGAATGGATAAAGAAAATGTGGTATATATACACAATGGAGTATTACTCAGTCATAAAAGAGAATGAAATTATGGCACTTGCAAGTAAATAGGTGGATATGGAGACTACTGTGCTAAGTGAAATAAGCCAGTCCCCAAAAAGCCAAATGTACAATGTTTTTGCTGTATGTGGAAGCTAACCCACAATAAGGGAAGAGAGAGGAAGGATAGATATTCAATAGATTAGACAAAGTGGAATGAAGGAAAGGAAAGATGGGTAGGAAAAGGAAAGACTGTAGAATGAACCTGAAATAATTTTCCTATGTACTTATATGAWTATATCACAGTGAATCCCACCACCACTGTGTACATCCACAAGAATGGGGTCCTAATTAGAACAAGGTATATTCCGTGCTTGAATAATTATATAAAAATGAATTCTTCTGTCATGTATAACTAAAAAGAATCAATAAAAATTTACAAAAACAACAGTGTGTACATCAGATTTAGAGATGTTCTGAGGATTCAGTGATTTAACAAAGATGGCCTTTAGATCCCAGCCTGGCACACAGTAAGTGTACATACATGCTAATCATGCACAAGTGTGAGAAGCTAGGGGACTCTCTTCTCCCAAGTTATGTGGAAAGATATCAAGGTGTCTGTAAGGACAGATACTACTAGACTTCCAAAGTAGGTCTCCAGATCTCCAAAACCATACATGCATATTAACTGCTTCAAGAAAACACCAGGTTACTCTCTGGCCTCCTTTCTCCACACCCACACCAGTCTTCACTGTTACTCATTAGATGGGTTAAATGCTTTTGTGTTCTCACTGTAATTCTGCCTCACTGTAAAAGTTTTCTAGAAAATATAACCTCATTCTGAGAGATCCTAACTATGGAAAAGGAGAGGAGAATGATGTCTCTAAAGGAAGTGGAATTAGTTTCTTGTTTTGCAGAGTTACTTACTGAGATGTTAGGAAATGCTAACAGATCTTAAAGATTAATGGGCACTCTGTCCCACCAGCTAAATTTCCCCTTCTCTTGGATCTCTTCTGTCTCCAGGCAAACTCYATAGGAGATGGGCTCAGTCAATGCACTGTTTTCAAACACATTCTCTTAAGAAAATGTGTATACACAAAGAAAAAAAGAATATGGTGGCCCTCTGCTCTCATAAGAAAACAGTGGTAAGTGGAAATTATTACTAGAGCTTGAGACACTTAGTAAAGGGGGAAACTCATACCTAAGGACAACTTGAGAATCAGCAACCCCTCAACTCATGCCAGCAGCCAAGGGGAGCACCTGAAAAATGCTACCATCTGTGACTGCCTGCTCCTGTGAGGAATTTCAGGAGTTTCTTTCTGCTCCACATTAACTGATGTGGACACATTTTAAAGTCCTAGAAGGAAAGCAGGTTAAGTGTTTTCTTAGAAGACAAGTGACTGGAATTCATGAGCATACTGTTCACTACAAGAGTCAGTCTACGACAGTTCCTTAAGTTAGAAATTCATTTATGCCTCTCAAAACCCCTATGAAGTAGGTATTATCTCATTTTAGAGATGATCATATATATGAGTTAAAAGTAAATGAACATTATCAGATAACTCATCTGGCCAACAGCAAAACTGGTTGGACTCTGTAGACTGACTCTAGGGTTTGAGCCTGGGGTCACTCCCTCTCCTTCCCTTTCTTCCATCCTCTTTCTGCCTCCATTTCTTTGTCTACTGTGCACCTAATTTTTGCCACGTATCACTGACATCTTCCCCTTACACTCAAGAGTGATTTGAAAGGAAACAGATATACAGCCTCTTAGAGACACAAGTGCCATTCACAAATAGTCAAGTTATAAAACTTATACTATGTCTTCAAATTTACATTTAAGAAACAAGCAAGAGCAGGCAGAAACCATGGGTTTACACATAGTGAGATGCTGCATAAATGTGTGGGGTAGGTGAAGAGTGCTGCGCCCCCCCCCCCACACCCCGGCATACTTTTCTCTTAGCCCTACTCCAAGAAATTCATGAGGCCATTCGCCAGGTTAATATATTTTGCCACCAGGAATGTCGCCCAGTGATTATTTTCATGACTACAGTAACTACTTGAAGATCTCATTCAGTTCATGGTCATTAGAGAAGAAAACCTAAGAATAATTTTTCCTGTGGCAATGCTTTGCCAGTCTTTCCTTAGAAACCAAATTTATGCTAAACACTGCAAGGCAAATCTTAGATGAATAATGTCTTTCCTCTTCATCTCTGGACAAAGGTCAATTTGCAGCTCAGCCTCAAGAAAGAACTGGAAATGTTAGGCCACTGGAGAACCACTTCCATCTGAAGTGGCCTCAGGATAGAACATTTCTGAAAACTCCAGTTTTCAGAATTTCCTTCATTAAACATTAACCCCAATTTTCTCCAGTAAACATATATTCGTGGTTCTACTATGTGCCAGTTGCAATGTTGGGCTTAGTTCCTTACCAACAAAGAACTCACAGCTACAAGGGCTCCCAGGTAACCCTGGCAGGTGCTCAACAAATGTAGCTGGCTTTGCAGTCCACTTTGAAAGATTTATCTGGGTCTCACTTAACATTAGATCTGAACTGATTAAATTATAGTTCTGTAACACTTTGCTGTTACCTGGAGTCAGACCATTCTGATCCTGATCTATAGAAATGAGCTAGGATGCAACAAGCTTCATTAATTACAAGGTCAGGCATTACATCCCTTCCCATGATTCTCAGTTTTCAGGTCAAAACCTTCTTTAGAAAATATATTACTTTTCATGAATTCTCCCTGAGAGTGGAAGGAGGGTAAATGACCCCAAACAGGAAGCATTTCTCATTATTATTACCATGAAGGGTACAAAGTAAATAGATTCAACACMAAAGAGGTGATTCTTACCAAAGGTAACACATTTAAAAACAAAGAGTTCCGTGAGAACTGGTTCTAACAGACTAAAACGTTATTTATACAAATCCCATTCAAAGGTTTCCAAAGTCAAAATCTATGGGATTACAAAATCTAAGAAAAATATATTATAGACATAAAATAAGGTCTGGGATTGACCAACACTTATTTTTTTTTTGGCATTTTTTGCTTTATTTTGCAACTTGATATTAAAAATCAKGAATTATCATTATGTCTTATTTTCCTTATTCAGATTGTAAAAGATGAAAGATCAGTCAAAATAATCACTTTTAACTTTAGTGCTTTCAACAATAAGGCACTTTTTTTTTTATATAAGCTAGGGGCAAGATATTTGTCAAAAGCATTGACCAACACTTATATGCAAAAGTTTAAGTGTGATTGTTTGGGATTTGTGCTACACTACTCATATTTAGACCATTCCCACCTGACCAGAATATAGGAGCGCATGGTGACATGAAGGAGACTTA